CTTATGTTGACATCAAGACTTATGTTGACATCAAGACTTATGTTGACATCAAGACTTATGTTGACATCATGGCTTACGTTGACATCATGGAAGTAAGCTATAAATGTATACAATTGCTGCAAACTTATTCAGTGAAAAGATTTTTCTGCAATGCGCAAAATTTTGATAGATACGAGCGAATGCAAGCCCTTGATGTCTTCAGACCCTTGCACTGTCTCCTCTTACCCTTCAGACCCATCGTCAATAAATACCATATAATATTAGTCAGATCTGCGATTCATGCCCATGTTCAATTACCACATGATAAATACAAAACTTTTTCGCTTGCGAGTTATTGCTCAGTTTTGTTAATAAAATAGATCGTTTCTTGAAGGCTGGCGACATAAGTGCTGTGGACTCATAAGTGCCTCTGACGTTATACGTTCCTAGAGGAAATATTTTGATAACGACTTATTGCTCATTTATTTGGGGACTCCTGACGGACTGCGGTGGATTTGCATTCATGACAGAAAGAATTATTGTGAGTGCTGTTAATGTGTCTTAATATCAGCGCACGACGCACCTATACTTGTTGAAGACAGGAAGGATACACTGAGTACTGTAGTGTGTTCAGTTAAGCGCACGAATTCACCCTATATTCATGACAGGAAGCTCGCTAACTTACGTCCAGCTTCCACAAAATTTCTTATTGTCCAGCGTTTTGCTTCTGATTATTTTAAAAACTCCTACTTCCCGAGAGCTTTTCATCACTCATCACCACTTCCACGTACCATAAGATTACCACTTTAGCCACCTATTTTTACTATGTCTATAAATCCACGACTTTAGCCCCTCCTATTCACAAGGTCTATAAATCCACCATTTTAGACCCTACTATTTACAAAGCATCATATTTACAATATCCTATAATATCCTTACAATTAAGGCATCCTCCTATTTACAAATCCACGACTTCAGACCCTTCTATTTACAAGGCCTATAAATCTCTGCAGGTATGTGAGGGCACTGCAGGTATGTGAGGGCAGCCCTGCAGGTATGTGAGGGCTGCCCTGCAGGTATGTGAGGGCACTGCTGGTATGTGAGGGCACTGCAGGTATGTGAGGGCTGCCCTGCAGGTATGTGAGGGCACGGCAGGTATGTGAGGGCAGCCCTGCAGGTATGTGAGGGCAGTCCTGCAGGTATGTGAGGGCAGCCCTGCAGGTATGTGAGGGCACTGCAGGTATGTGAGGGCAGCGCAGGTATGTGAGGGCTGCCCTGCAGGTATGTGAGGGCACAGCAGGTATGTGAGGGCAGCCCTGCAGGTATGTGAGGGCACAGCAGGTATGTGAGGGCTGCCCTGCAGGTATGTGAGGGCACTGCAGGTATGTGAGGGCACTGCAGGTATGTGAGGGCACTGCAGGTATGTGAGGGCACTGCAGGTATGTGAGGGCACTGCAGGTATGTGAGGGCACTGCAGGTATGTTAGGGCACTGCAGGTATGTGAGGGCACTGCAGGTGTCTTCCTGCAGTTACTGTACATCGCCTCCATCCATTTACTGTCCTGCAGTTACTGTCTGTTTGCCTCTTGCATGTCTTCGCTGTGCATAGTCACGCAATATCACCCAGCGATCGAGATAGTTACAGTTACAGCACACAAATTCACCGCAGTTTATAACAGTATTTATCATAAGCCACTATAAGTCTTATCTAATTCAATGACCGCATTACAAGCTGGGTTCCTGCTACCACGCTGCCACTTGCCCTCTCGTCATTGTGACGTATCATTGTGACGTGACGTATTCACTGATGTTGTTCCTGTTTCTTGTTGCAATGGACGTAGACTTTCATCCGATTGTTCACCGTGATCAGCACACAACCCTCAGGACACGCGAGGCCTGCTGGATGAAGGCGATCTGTTTTACGAGGCCTAGGATAATTTTTGTTATTTTTTTGTGTTTTTATTTCAGTATATCAAGCAAGATTGAAAACCTTGACTGCGGCGAGCAAATGCTGAACATGAAGTAGACCAGGGCGGAGATATTACAAAAAATTGATACGTCATAAGTTATATGATGGTCGTAAATCTTTATCACTGCGAATGGCTATATTTCAGTTTTTGTTGAATGGAAATTCCAATGTTGGTTGTGCAAGACACGTTGTAAATCACGCGTAATCTTTTGATAAGGCATACATACCTCGGAGAATCAAATATTTATTCCCCAGATAAAAGGCTTATAAAGTTGTGATTTAGGGCTGGATGACGTCATCGTGTGGTTTATGATACGCTCACATCCACCCGCCATCATGACGTCATGAAGTTTGCATCAGAGATTTTCGGTGACGTCGTTTTTGATCAATGAACCTGAGTTGTGTGCGAGACAAGAACAATACAAATGAGAGATTGTTGTGAACTGCAGTTATGACTGGTGACTGCGTTAGGTGGTTACAGTAGCAATGAAGTTATCGATGCTTTATGTGACTGGCGACTGTACTTGTTATAGTGAAAAGTATTCAGTGTATGGATTTCAGTGTAATTGATCTCAGTGTAATTGATCTCAGTGTAATTGATCTCAGTGTAATTGAAGTCAGTGTAATTGATCTCAGTGTAATTGATCTCAGTGTAATTGAAGTCAGTGTAATTGATCTCATTGTAATCGAACTCAGTGTAATACATCTCAGTGTAATTGATCTCAGGATAAAGCGTTCTCACAGAAATTTAAGGTCACGTGAAATGCGCCTAGTATGTCCATTGCTGTGAAGTAATCATAATTTTAGGAGGTGATATCGTCATAAAGTTGAGACTCCTCAAAAACTCGACGTGGAGGCCTCATTTTTAATCGAACTGCCACTTTACATCATTTAATTAATTTTAAATAATTTCATGTTATCAAAAGCCTTCAAAAAACACGTTTACGCCCCCGGAGAATATGGTCGTTCCTTCTGCTATTCGTACCGGAGTTAAAAAACGACAAGGCAGTCAATCAGAGGCTTGGAAAAATTTTTTTTCAATAAAGGATGAATGACCTGCTGCTGACATCGCGCATGTTGAGGTGTAGAGCAGCAGCTGTGAGGTGTAGAGCAGCAGCTGTGAGGTGTAGAGCAGCAGCTGTGAGGTGTAGAGCAGCAGCGTTATCAGCTGTAAGGTGTAGAGCTCCAGCTCAAGGAACAGATACAGAGGCCGCAGTGCTGAGGCTCAGGGCAGTCATGGCCTGCAGTCACTCCTGCCTCTTGTGCCTCGTGTGAGGCCATGTTCTCGTACAGTGCTGTGTGTGAGGCCGTGTTCGCGTATTCGTTACAATTTATTGACTTGAGTTTACGAGAGACAAAAAGTTACTTAATTGAGATTGTGCTGCATCTGCAGTGCGGAGGCATTTTTGTTTTCATCGAACATAATAACAACAGAAATTGTTTTTTATCGAACATAAGAACAACAGAAATTGTTTTTCATCGAATATAATAACAACAGAAATTGTTTTTCATCGAACATGATAACAACAGAAATTGTTTTTCATCGAACATGATAACAACAGAAATTGTTTTTCATCGAACATAATAACAACAGAAATTGTTTTTCATCGAACATGATAACAACAGAAATTGTTTTTCATCGAACATAATAACAACAGAAATTGTTTTTCATCGAATATAATAACAACAGAAATTGTTTTTCATCGAAAATGATAAGAACAGAAAAGTGTTTAGTGAAGATATGGTGAATGTGCTTGCCTGTTATTTAGCTTTCAAAATGTAGGCGAACTTCCGATTTAAGCTGCTTAATGATGTTAGATTATTTCTTGTTCAGTGTTGAAATAATTGTCAGCGTGTGGAGTCAGTCTCCTGTACGAACGCTAAGTGCAAATAGTTTAATCGGAAAGTAATTAACCTGTACATCCAGTTTGTTACGAAAAAATATATATATTCAAAAATATAAATATGGAAGTGATTATATAGTAGGCCATGTTTACTGCGTGGCATTATATATAGGAGGCCATGTTTACTGCGTGGCATTATATAGGAGGCCATGTTTACTGCGTGNGCCTTAGGCAAGAGACAGGTTACCTGTAGCCTTAGGCAAGAGACAGGTTACCTGTAGCCTTAGGCAAGAGACAGGTTACCTGTAGCCTTAGGCAAGAGACAGGTTACCTGTAGCCTTAGGCAAGAGACAGGTTACCTGTAGCCTTAGGCAAGAGACAGGTTACTTTTTCAAGTAGTGTCTTTGAACCTTTGGATTGACTCCTTCAATTTCCGTGAAATTTTTTTGGGGATCACCTGCAAGAAATGGTTAATTCGTTTGTTCATTTATTAAAGGCTAATTGAGTGCCTCTATTCATGTTCCATGTAATGAGGTACAACATCTGATGATTTATAACAATTTTCCAGAATTAGACCTGTTTTACTGGTAAATTTTGTTGTGCTCTTTGAGAAAAATATTACAATTGACAATGTCGGCTCGGCCTGTCCATGGAGGCAGACCTAGATCAGTTTTGGGCAACTGGATATACGAGAAGAGTTTGCGGTCACGCAAACTCTTCCATCTCAATGAGCACCGACCTGTGGACTCTGTGGTCCATCTCAACGAAGACCGCAGAGAGTCCGGATATGAATCTCCACCCGTTGATTATTCAGACCCCGAAGACAGCGAAAACTACTCACGAAAATCCGCAAGAAAACCAAGAAAGAAGCTCCCGCTTGTGTCACCACCTCACCAACGACACGAACCTGAGAATGCCAAGGATTTTAACGAAGGATACGTTACTCCTCCCATAGATTATTCTGATGGTGAGGAGGAACGTGTCTCGACGAGTAGCGCGGATGAGAAAGTAAGGCCGCGGCCAGCCAAAGATAAGGACAAACCAACGTTGAAACCTGCTGCCAACACTGAGACCGCGGCACAAACTCGAGCTGCTCAATGGAAGACTTCGAACAAATCGGACGCTAAGCAAGCCAGTGCATTAAAATTTACCAAAGAAGAAAGGAAATTGGATAGAAATCATAGAACTGAGTCGAACTCTAAGGAATTAAAGCCTCTCAAATTTGAGAAAAAGAAATTTAGGGAGGAAGGTTCAATGATGATCAAATGGTTAGCTAAGGACCCGAAAGTTGAACGAGAAGCCTTGGATCAACCTGAGTTATTCCGCGATACGAATGACCAAACAAAATTTGTGAGAGAGATCGTCGAAGACTCGAAAGTAAATGAAGTTTTAGCTGCAACGCAGAAGGTAGTGCAAGAGTCATGTGGAGAACCTGAGTCTTGGGGAAATGAGTTTACGAAGACGGCAACTCCTGCCAAGAAGCCGTCGCGTGTCCGCTTCTGTGATATGAAGCCTGAACTCCACAGTCTAAGTGAAGATTCCGACGTAATTGATGAAATATACGAGCTGGAAATAAAACACAATTCACAAATTGACCAAGAAGCGACGCATGATAGAAAAGAAAATAATTTTAATCTGCATTTAGTGAAGTCAATCGACGCTACCGATGTCATGGCTGATGATGACCCAGAGAACATCACGCCTGTGGACTATGAGTCATTACCACAGCTCTTCACGGGCCTTGCTAAGACTCGTCAAAGTCAAGTCTTTACCAGCCTTCAAGACCTGCATGAAGGCGGCGACAAGCCCAAAGACTTGCCGGAGTCGCTTAGTTCCAGCAGCCACGATCTGTCGTCCTGGATCGCAGCTTCTGTCGAAAAAGCGAACGCCTACAAAAAGAAACTTAAGAAGAAAAATCTCCCCGATATTTTCAACCAAGTTTCCAGGTATGTCTTCTCAGCAAAATTAACTCTCTTTTCAGCGTGGGAGAACTGTTTGACTGCCGATTTATTGTCAGAAATGTTTCACATGTGATATATTTGTTGTAATAACGATTGGTACAATGATTCTAATACAAATTTCATCGAAGGTCAAATGCGACAAAAAATTTTATACCTTAACCCCATGAGTCTTTATCTGAAACATTATGGTGAAGTTATGTCCTATACGAAACATTATGGTCATGTACGGAACATTATGGTGAAGTCATGTCCTATACGAAACATTACGGTACAATACGAAACTTTATGGTCCTATACGAAATATAATGGTGAAGTTAAGTTTATGGTTTCAGAAAAATGCTGACGCGCAAACTCGTGTTCAACATTTCGTAGCTTCTTCCTCCCTTTACTCAACACTTCCTGGTATTGCTTAGTACGATCTTAGAACAATTATTTAGTACGATCTTAGAACAATTATTTAGTACGATCTTAGAACAATTATTTAGTACGTTCTTAGGACAATCATGTAGTACGATCTTAGAACAATTATTTAGTACGATCTTAGGACAATCATGTAGTACGATCTTAGAACAATTATTTAGTACGATCTTAGAACAATTATTTAGTACGATCTTAGAACAATTATTTAGTACCATCTTAGCACAATTATTTAGTACGATCTTATAGAACAATTATTTAGTACGATCTTAGGACAATTATTTAGTACGATCTTAGGACAATTATTTAGTACGATCTTAGGACAATTATTTAGTACGATCTCAAGACAATTATTTAAAACGATTTTAGGACAATTCGAAAAAACCAAATCTTGCTTTACAGAGAACGTGAATTTTAATTTACAAAAATGGTTACATTGATTGTTGAACGCATAGATTTCCGCTCTCACTCGGGCTTGGAAATGAATGGAGGAAAATCTACTTAATGTATAAGTTTTTAATTGGCGAATTCATAAAGTGATAAGGAGATCTTAAAGACCATGCATGTCTCGCATAAATGGGAAATGTCTCATGACCATTTCAAGGCTTAATTGAAAGTGTTTCGAAACCATGTTCAGCCTTAATTGAAAGTGTTTCGAAACCATGTCCAGCTTTACTTGGAAGTGTCTCAAGAACATTTCCAGCCTTAAATGGAAGTGTTTCGAAACCATGTCCAGCTTTAATTGGAAGTGTCTCAAGAACATTTCCAGCCTTAAACGGAAGTGTTTCGAAACCATGTCCAACCTTAGTTGAAAGTGTTTCGAAACCATGTCTAACTTTAATTGGAAGTGTCTCAATACCTTGTCCAGCCTTAATTAGAAGTGTTTCGAGATGCCGACCGACGTTGTCCAACAAAGAAGTTGTCAATAAAATGGACAACAGAACATGCGTCCACGCAGCAGTTCCTGACTTGAAATCAGCTCTAATTATTTTACGTGAAATCTCCTTCATTTTTAGCTAGTTCAGCATTTTAGCTGAGTTCTTATTAATCCTCACTCGTTATTTTTCGTTTTCTTGATTCTTCGAGTTTCGTGTGAACATCATCCATGGAACCTAATGAACACACGTTCTCATCTCACATGCTAGTAAGAAAGTGCTGACCGTATATATAGAGTGTTGCTTAATGGACTCATTTGTTTGATAGTTTTTCTCGTGGACTTAGCGGATAGCTGACATCGGCCTTCTTCTACTCGTGAGAAAAATTACCGTTAACGCTATTACCGGCGTTTCAGTGGCCGGTCGGCAGGTGAAAAGAAACACCGTGCCGCCGTTTTTATTCTAATTTAACACTAGAAATCCGTAAAACATCTGATAAAAACGGCGAAACAGTTTATTTTCACGGGGCGGGCGACCGGCCACTAGAACGCCGGTGGGACCGTTTCTTCACCGTTTTTTCTAACAGTGTATACACGTGAGAAAACATGGCCTTATTACGCCATTGTTGTCTAATATCGGGATGGAGGGAGGAATGTGGAGGCGACATAAAAAAACTGAAAATAACATCGTAGTTCACAATATCTTTGGCTGAAGATAAGTTGAACTCTGATGCGATCGCGTAATATACTCGACAGATTCCGATAAGACTGATTACATCATTCATGTTGCACCAACATTCCTTGGTATGTCTCATCAATGGATTGTATTGTATATCACGCAGCTCCCATTAACAAGCCTCTTATGCTAACATCCTCGTGTACTACTTATAGTGTTGCTGCTGGTCGAGGATGTAGAGAGCTATGAGAGTTATGTGGCCGTGCAGTGAATTAATGAGGCAGCGCAAGCTGTTGTTGTTGTTTGAAGAGAGACAAGACTGCAGGTTGCCACCTCTGGTCTGATATAACTTGCTGTAACACGCTGCAACACCCTGAAATATACTGTAACACGCTGCAACACTCTGTAATATACTGTAACACGCTGCAACACCCTGTAATATACTGTAACACGCTGCAACACCCTGTAATATACTGTAACACGCTGCAACACCCTGTAACATACAGTAACACGCTGCAACACGCCACAATGTTCAACATGTGCCAGACATGTTTCTCACCATAGCGCCGTTATTTGTTTAACATTCCACGGAGTCAATAACTTGGCAATGGCAGAGATCGGATGCATCGCTGAAATTAAGCCTTTATATTGAGAACGAAATGCTTCAAGTGACGTGATTATACGCCACCGATTTATTACTGCTGAACGAACTTATGAATCTCCTTCGTTCCGTATTATCTGGACAATTATTAAGAAGCAAAATGTAATATTACTTTGTTGCGACTTTAAGTCGCTATTTTTTGTGATGAATCATCAACCTAAACGTCGCATGCAGCTCACATGCTGGCCTCACACATCAATGCGTGGTCACGCGCTGAATACACAGAGGTGCATTGGGGGCAAGACTTATGTTGACATCAAGACTTATGTTGACATTAAGGCTTATGTTGACATTAAGGCTTATGTTTACATCAAGGCTTATGTTGACATCAAGGCTTATGTTGACATCAAGGCTTATGTTGACATCAAGGCTTATGTTGACATCAAGGCTTATGTTGACATCAAGGCTTATGTTGACATCAAGGCTTATGTTGACATCAAGGCTTATGTTGACATCAAGGCTNAGTTTAACCCTTAAATGCACGCATTTAATGTGGAGGATAAAAAAAATATTTCAACGGTGATTCTATTTTGAAATGGGTCAATATACACATAAATTGCATCAAGTTTGAATTTTTTCTTTTTATTATATAAAATTGATGGTTGTATCATATATGATACAAGGCGCGTTTGCGGTAAATATTAGTTACTATGTAATTTGGTGGAACATTCGATATTTTTTCTAAAACAAAGGGTAATACCGCACTTTTGGTACATAACATAGGAAAGTGAATAACAACCAGGTATTTTGTATCTTTGTCGGTCATCAGCATGCTTGGGCCAGTTTGCCACACCATCCAATCTCACTTCTTTAGGGGGCAGATGAGCTACATTACCATTCTTATCACATGGCGCACAACTTATCGCATGGAGTCCTTCTTATCAGTGTTATCACATGGCACCGTTCTTATCACGTGACGCCCTTCTTATCACATGGCACCCTTCTAATCGCATGACGCTCTTTTTATCACATGGCGCCCTTATAATCACAGAGCACACTTCTTATCACATTGCGCCTTTTTGATCCCATGGCGCCATTCTTATCGCATCATTGCATGACGACCGTCATATCGCATAGAGACTTTCATATCACGAGGCGCCCATCTTATCACATGACACCCTTCATAGCGCATGGCGCCCTTCTTATCACATGACGCCCTTGCTATCACATGAAGCTCTTCTTATCAAAAGGCGCCCTTCCTATCACATGGTGCCCATCACATAACATCTTGTGCTGCCTAAGGTCAGGTTGCAGTCTCTTGTCTAGCGTGAAGCATTGAGCCTTGTGTGTTTTTTTGTTCTGTGCTGTGTTGTATTGTGTTGTTCTGTGTTGTATTGTATTGTTCTGTGTTGTATTGCATTGTTCTGTGTCTGTCTCTTATACACATCTAGATGTGTATAAGAGACAGGTGTGACACCATTAGACCCTAGTCTCCCATCAGACCCTAGTCTACCATCAGACCCTAGTCTACCATCAGACCCTAGCCTAACACCAGCCCTGTTGCCAGGTGCAGCATGGACGACGGAGGCAGTAGCCTGAGCAGCGCCTCGTACGGCTCGTGCAGCAGCTCAGGCACGGAGGAGGTCGTGCTCAGGATACACGTGCCCGAGCTCAGCATAGAGCGCTGCCTTACCTTCCACGCCAACGACCTCGTCTGGACTGTCAAGCAGGCCGCTCTTACCAGCCTGCCTAAGGTGGGTTACCTCTTCATGGCCTGCTAATGTCTGGGTAATTAAAATAATTGCTGTGCAGGCCGCCCTCACCAGCCTGCCTAAGGTGGGCTCAGTTCTTCATGGCCTGCTAATGTCTGGCCAATTAAAATAACATCTGTGTCCACTTATAACTAATCTTACCGCTTATGTAATTTATTTAGAGCATTCCTAGGTAATGTGTAAAATAATTGACGAACATTAATAATTATTTTAAAAAATATAGAAACGTAGAGAACCTTGATCGAGAAACTCGCTGGGCTGTGATGGCTGCTCTTTTGAATGAGGTGATACGGCACTGAAGAAAATAAAGCGATAGTTGTCCGAGTTTTTGACAGATCTAATAGTCTAATGATGGTCTAGTAATAGTCTAATGATGGTCAAGTAATAGTCTAATGATGGTCTGATAATAGTCTAATGATTGTCTAGTAATATACTTATTGATGTATCACTGAACTAATGATGAGGTCATTCGCGACCTCATCTCATATCTCAGACAAGCTGATAAGAGAATGGGTTGAGCGTGGTCCGTTGAGAACCTGAATAATTTAGTAGCTTTCCATGAACCATCTTTTAGTTGCTCTCCATGAACCATCTTTTAGTAGCTCTCCATGAACCATCTTTTAGTAGCTCTCCATGAACCATCTTTTAGTAGCTCTCCATGAACCATCTTTTAGTAGCTCTCCATGAACCATCTTATGACTCCAGATATCTGTTACAAATGCTTAGCTTAATGAGGCAGGAGGCTAATATACCGGTACTTAATATTCGGGACCTAGGCAACGTGGGAAAGGATCTACTAATGAGATCTTGTAAATGCTCCTTTCACTCATCAGTATTCGCTCCAACACTCGCTTTGGCTGTCCTCATACCTCCAACATATAAACAAACTGGAAGTTTATTAGATCCCGTCAATTTATTTTATAATTATTGTTTATTTGATTCCATTAATTACCAGGTATTTAAGTTGTAAATTCATATCCCATCCATCGCGACGTAAGGAAGGCTCTGATTACAATCTTGGTGCAGTCTACTTCTTAGTGATAAGCTCCTATCTCATCACGCTACGACGTATCTCAGCTCTTATCTCATCACGCTACGACGTATCTCAGCTCTTATCTCATCACGCTACGACGTATCTCAGACTTAGTCTTGAATACCTTGACATCCATTCACTATAGAATAACTGAAGATTGTTATGATAATAATTCTCTATAAATGATAGCTATAACGCATTATTTCTGTTTGAAACGATCACTTCCCGTCGTAGAGTGCACAAGACGTACAGGGTCCGCCATTTTTATGGCAACGCATGTTTTTTGTCATTTCTCAATGAAACAAACAGGTGCCTTGTTTTTTAATGGACGAGCTAGTAGCCAAGAATTACCTAAACAGTTCTCAGACATATTTATTCAATATGACCACCCTTATTTTTAATGACGGCCTCCAATCTACGCGGGAAGCTTCACAGGAGACACGCAGCATTTCTTGAGGGATCAAGTCCCATTCTCGTGTCAATTTAGACTTCAAACTATCCAAAGAATCATGAGGTGTTCTGCAGACCCTACTCTCTAAAATAGCCCACACAGAAAAGTCAAGAGGAATCAAATCAGGGCTTCTTGAGGGCCATCCATTTTTGCTAATGAACGCTGGGATGTGACCCTGAATCCAGTTTTGGTCATGTTGGAGCCATTTGATGGGGGAGAGTCTTGTTGAAAACTCAATGGTGAGCCGTTGAAGTGTTTACGGGCCCAAGGTAACAACACAGCTTCCAAAATGTCCGAAATGTATCGCTGACTGTTCAATTTCACTCCTGAGGGGACAAAAACGAGTGGCGATTACCGCGGCTCAAACCATCACGGACATGAGATTTTGACGTCGTGTTGTTGTTCTGGTTACCACAGAACCATCCCGACTCCAAACTCTGTCATTTTGACGGTTAACGCTTTGTTCAATGTCAAATTTTTTCTTGTCACTGAACACCAAGTTGGGCAGCGTGCATACTCAATGAGATCCAGAATGTGCTGGCATCTTTCGAGCCTCATTCGTTCATGACGGTCTGTTAGTTCATGCCTTGTTTGCATCTTGTAAGGGGAGGTTTTGAGGTCATCTTTGAAGACTCTACGCATTGATGTCTGACTGACTCCTGCTTCTGCAGCCAATTTTGCAGCTGAGCGACAAGAGTTTCTCCTCAACTTCTTCCTCGTATTTTTGACCAATTGTTTTGTTCGGACACTTCGTTTCCTTCCTTGACCAGGTCGATTGCATGTTTCACCAGTTTCCTTGAATTTTTACCACCTTTCACACAGTTTCACCACGAATTTGGAGCTTTTTTGCAATGACTGAATTACTCTCGCCCTTTTCATGAAGGGTTACTATTGCATTTCTATCTACTGCCATGAGTAATAGTAAATTTAGACACCTTATAGACTTCTGCAATATAAAATAGATGAATTAAAAGATGATATTAAATTTCATTATAAAAGAAAAGTCTCCTAGAAACCAATTTATTTATATATAGCAAACATCCTTTGCCATAAATATGGCGGACCCTGTATATACTTTACTGTGTCGTGTCTGTATATATTATAGAACCTCATATGTCTGTCCTATATATACGTACCTTTACTGTGTCGTGTCTGTATATATTATAGCACCTCATAGGTCTGTCCTATAAATACCTTACTGTGTTGTGTCTGTATATATTACAATAGATAAATATTTTTGTCTCATTTTGTCATAGCGTTTTTATGTACCTATCTCTCCATCCGTGTATATATATATTTTTTTTGAAAATAATTTCCTACCTATGTAACTAATTCGTGTTTTTAACTTTTATTTCTTCCATTTTTTAATTCAAGTGATAATATATTTTCTCGTAATAAGTTGCCAACAGTTCATGTCTCCTCTCAATATTGCTTGCAATTTCTGGTTAATGTCTGTTTTCTTTCTAATGATTTTGTTTTATATTTTTATTTCATCCTTTACGTCTTCACTACAACGTACATGCAAATGGGAATACCGAACCNTGGGTACCGAACTCCCTCACTCCTGTACATGCTGGGTACCGAACTCCCTCACTCCTGTACATGCTGGGTACCGAACTCCCTCACTCCTGTACATGCTGGGTACCGAACTCCCTCACTCCTGTACATGCTGGGTACCGAACTCCCTCACTCCTGTACATGCTGGGTACCGAACTCCCTCACTCCTGTACATGCTGGGTACCGAACTCCCTCACTCCTGTACATGCTGGGTACCGAACTCCCTCACTCCTGTACATGCTGGGTACCGAACTCCCTCACTCCTGTACATGCTGGGTACCGAACTCCCTCACTCCTGTACATGCTGGGTACCGAACTCCCTCACTCCTGTACATGCTGGGTACCGAACTCCCTCACTCCTGTACATGCTGGGTACCGAACTCCCTCACTCCTGTACATGCTGGGTACCGAACTCCCTCACTCCTGTACATGCTGGTACCGAACTCCCTCACTCCTGTACATGCTGGGTCCCAGCTTATATTTCATTTCTTCAAACTTAACAAGCATGCCCATCTATTTCTGCATGCGTACTATCTCTGTATATTAAATTCATGATTGCATCAGCAGTTGGGCAATGTTCTGAAGGCGACTTTGATATTGCAAATAGTAATTAGAGACGGAAACCTCGACAACGGGATATTGAGGTTAAATAAATTTTTATTTCACCCGTTAGCATATTAACAAAATTTTTATACTATTTGCTAGATGCCAGAGGTGGTTCAAGGATTGCTTTGCTAACGATAGCATCGGTTGCTTGGTAGAGTTAACGCGTATGTCTACTGCATCACTCAATATTTCAAAGCGTACTAAGGACAACTCAATCTATAATACAGGGATATCCTAAATGATGGACTCAAATTAAAATATTCGTGTTTATTTAAGAATTAACTTAAAATGAGAAATTTATACACCAATGGAATGAGAAAGATTCAAATTTGTTTTCTTGGTTGTTGGTAGAGGCGGAACGTAAACAGAGTTGCTGGCAGAGGCGGGACGTAAACAGAGTTGCTGGTAGAGGCGGGACGTAAACAGAGTTGCTGGTAGAGNACGCCCCACATTCGTTATGTGGAGATCGTCCCAACACACACGCCCCACATTCGTTATGTGGAGATCGTCCCAACACACACGCCCCACATTCGTTATGTGGAGATCGTCCCAACACACACGCCCCACATTCGTTATGTGGAGATCGTCCCAACACACACGCCCCACATTCGTTATGTGGAGATCGTCCCAACACACACGCCCCACATTCGTTATGTGGAGATCGTCCCAACACACACGCCCCACATTCGTTATGTGGAGATCGTCCCAACACACACGCCCCACATTCGTTATGTGGAGATCGTCCCAACACACACGCCCCACATTCGTTATGTGGAGATCGTCCCAACACACACGCCCCACATTCGTTATGTGGAGATCGTCCCAACACACACGCCCCACATTCGTTATGTGGAGATCGTCCCAACACACACGCCCCACATTCGTTATGTGGAGATCGTCCCAACACACACGCCCCACATTCGTTATGTGGAGATCGTCCCAACACACACGCCCCACATTCGTTATGTGGAGATCGTCCCAACACACACGCCCCACATTCGTTATGTGGAGATCGTCCCAACACACACGCCCCACATTCGTTATGTGGAGATCGTCCCAACACACACGCCCCACATTCGTTATGTGGAGATCGTCCCAACACACACGCCCCACATTCGTTATGTGGAGATCGTCCCAACACACACGCCCCACATTCGTTATGTGGAGATCGTCCCAACACACACGCCCCACATTCGTTATGTGGAGATCGTCCCAACACACACGCCCCACATTCGTTATGTGGAGATCGTCCCAACACACACGCCCCACATTCGTTATGTGGAGATCGTCCCAACACACACGCCCCACATTCGTTATGTGGAGATCGTCCCAACACACACGCCCCACATTCGTTATGTGGAGATCGTCCCAACACACACGCCCCACATTCGTTATGTGGAGATCGTCCCAACACACACGCCCCACATTCGTTATGTGGAGATCGTCCCAACACACACGCCCCACATTCGTTATGTGGAGATCGTCCCAACACACACGCCCCACATTCGTTATGTGGAGATCGTGGACACTCGTCCAGAATTTCAATACGATCGCCGCGCTGTAGACAGCGCAGTGCGCCTTCAAGTCCTGACGTCAGCCGTTTAGCACCACACAGCATCAGCTGGCACCGCAAACTCCATGCAAAGCATTGCTATTATTTGTAATTACGCTACGCAACGTTGCTGCTGAAGTTATAGGTTAGGCAGCGCTGATGTAATATCGCTGAATAAATGGACTATATATGTGCCTCCCACCGCACAAACTGGTGGATGCTAAGCAGCAACATGGCTTCAATGTTGTATAGATTTGATCGAAAGGCTAGTTCCCAGATGTCTTTAAGATGAGAATATTGCAAAAATAGGCGAAAGGTCAAACTTGACCTATACTTCAACGCTGATATATACTATATTACACTACACGATAGTGAACTATAGTGTAGTACTATACTATATTATATACTATACAACCATATATATGACACAGAAGCGTGCAGTGCCATGTATAATGTAATATAGTTTCATCACAGATTATTGTCGGCCTTCATAAGTACGCTTAAATATATATAAAGAGGTTAACAATTGATACGGCCGTAATGATACCGACACCTTGCCTATTTATCAGCCTGCTGCATCACGCGTGAAAACAATGACACAGAAAGAGAGGACACTTTATGGCTCCCTTCTACCCGACACTCAAAAATGTCCAATTTTCGGCTACAATTATTCAACTGTAACTGAATAAAAATTACCCAATTTTCGGCTAAAATTATTCAACTGTAACTGAATAAAAATTACCCAATTTTCGGCTACAATTATTCAACTGTAACTGAATAAAAATTACCCAATTTTCGGCTAAAATTATTCGACTGAATCTGAATAAAAATTACCCAAATTTCGGCTACAATTGTTCGACTATTATCTGAGTCTAGGTTCACTGTCATGAACCTAGACTTATACACCTAGACCTAGACATTCTTTTACCTGAATGTTGTGAAATGTTCGGCGCATCTTGGGGTGATTCGGGGAGATTTTTCTTATTCGGAATTAATCTGATTTTTTCAGAGCAATGAGAAAAATCCGAGATATCTTTACAATAAAAACTGTTTCGCTAGTCACTCGCCTGCAGATTTTTATTTTTGCTGCCTCAATAAACTGTCGTGCACAGACTGTCGCTGGAGCAGTCAATTGTTCCGTAATGCTCGGCGCAGCTAACAAGCGTGCACCAACCCACTGAACTGCGAGCGAGTCTTCAATGTCTTTGATTGATATCAGGTCTGATCTCTTTATAATATCAGGTCTGATCTCTTTATAATATCAGGTCGGATCTCTTTATAATATCAGGTCTGATCTCTTTATAATATCGGGTCTGATCTCTTTATAATATCAGGTCTGATCTCTTTATAATATCAGGTCTGATCTCTTTATAATATCAGGTCTGATCTCTTTATAATATCAGGTCTTATTCCTTTTTTTAATAGCTGAAGGCCGAATACGGAACCGAGTTCAGAATGTTTGTTGAGTAGCAGTAATGGAACGGCCATTAGAAAAGCAAACGCACGCTGCTCACTTGTCCAATGCGTAGTGGCAACTGACTAGGCGGGACACAAAACTGCATGACCTTGCCTTTTATATCAATGAGTTAGATACACTGCAGTTAGATATTTAGAAAACATTCACAAAATCTCAAATACTTTCGTGGATGCGTACATCTCGTCATTTTTTTAAATTTTGCATCAAAATAGTTATGTTAGTCCATTAAAATAACGGACGCGGTGCAATGTTATAATGTATTTAAATATGAATGGCTCAATTGATGTGTATTTATTGGATTTTCCGGGCAGCGATGTTGATCGTTAACTGTTATCTATTTTATGAATTGTTTTAACAATGCAGAGTTGCAATTTCCCATCGACCTTCAATATTTTTGCATTGGTTAATCATCTGGACTGCGACATGTTCCTTCTTTATATGGTACATCTTGGGCTTGCACTTAAAAGTCAAATGTTGACCATCTACTTGCATGTTTGTGTTGATTATATTAAACCCCTGTCCTAATGTTGACCCGCAACCTACACGATTATGTTAACTATGTTGAACCCTTGTCATAATGCTGACCCTCAACCTACTTGTACATGTTAACTATGTTGAACCCCTAGACCCACAACCTACCTACATGATTATGTTAACAAAATTGCAATATTTATTTGCACATCGAAGTATGATGAATGCCACAGTCGGCCTGCAATCCTGTAACATCTGGCAAGCGGGCAACAAATTTGATACGAAAGATGAATTTTTCATTCGTATTAATTGCACGTCCAGGAATAATATTTAAATAATACACTTTTAAAGGTTGTTAGGAACATGAGTTGTGGTGTAAATAATCTATAAATAAATAATAGTCTCCGTTACATGGACACTGTAGCACAAACAGCTGCATTTTATAAACTGTGTGGTCTGAAGTTCCTCTCTGCATTACCGGGTGTCCCAAAAAAGATATACAACTTTTAGTGGCTGTAACTCGAAAAGTAATAAAGTTAAAAAAATTGGAAGGTCAGGATTTGTTCCTTATGTTTTTTTCCATCTCTGTAGAGTCGCCAGACTGCACATTTGTGGTCATTTAAAAGCCTGTAGGATGGGTGGTGGCTGGAGGGTTCAATCACAGCCTCCAATATATAAATATCTCTTGATATTTTGCTAACTGCTTGCAGGAGATTTATAGGTCAGTTAGTCACGTCTTAGGTTAGGTTAAGGGTTCTAGCTCACCTTACTGATGTCCCAAGCTCCTTGAAACAGCAATATCTCTATACGGTGTTGAGTCCTCGACAGGCATAGTACAAATGGTACAATCTTCTGTTCAGTCATGACGAAACTAATAATAATTAAGAAAATAAAATTTAATACTGGCAGGGCTAGCTGATTGGTATAAAATATTATCTGCTCTACCAGTATACGCTGTATAATATATTGCTTGTTCTACCACTACAAGCTGTATAATATATTGTCTGCTCACTAGTATAATCTGTATAATATATCGTCTGTTCCATAGGAGCTGCGCGAGAGTTTCAACTACGGGCTCTTCTGCCCTCCGCAAAACGGACGCGCCGGCAAGTTCTTGGACGAAGAGCGGCCGCTGTCTGACTACCCGCAGTGTACCCCTCTGGGGTACTTGGAGGTACGTGTGGCTGCAGTGTGCTCCTCTGGGGTACTTGGAGGTACGTGTGGCTGCAGTGTACTCCTCTGGGGTACTTGGAGGTACGTTTGGCTGTAGTGTGCTCCTCTGGGGTACTTGGAGGTACGTGTGGCTGTAGTGTGCTCCTCTGGGGTACTTGGAGGTACTTGTGGCCGCTGTGTACTCCTCTGGGGTACTTGGAGGTACGTCTGATTTGCTGATATAACCTATCTTCTGACTGGAATATTTCAACTATTCAATGAACATGTAATATTTTAACTATTTAACGAACATGTAATATTTCAACTATTATTCATGTTTTAAATATTCAATGAACATGTAATAAGGTATAATGTAATATTTTAACTATTCAACGAACATGTCCGTGCAGCTGAAGTACAAGCGGCGCGTCTACAAGATGTTGAAGCTGGAAGAAAAAACTCTACGGGCGCTGCACTCCCGCGCTAACTTGCGGCGCTTCCTGGAGGCTGTGAAGGAAGGCAACGTGGAGAAGGTGGCCAAGATGTGCAGCAAGGGCTTGGACCCTAACTTCCATGACCCGGAAACTGGGGGTAAGTGCGTTAAAATTGTCCAATATTTGATTTTAGTCGTGGAATGGACCCAAATCCCCCGAATAGACCCATGATAGTTGGGGAAGACTTAAATCCCCTAACAAAAATCAAGGTATGATTGAGACTCTGCCACAGCCTCGCTATAGTTGGGGTAAGGTTATTATCAATGAATTATTGCAATTCATTTGTCGTAATGCTAAGGTAGAACCTGACACACAACAATTTATTGCAGTTCACCTGTCCTAATAATAACGTAGAACCCAACACATAACAATTTATTGCAATTCACCTGTCCTAAAGCTAACGTAGAGCCTGACTCTTAAAAGTTGATTTCCTAACGACATGTTGCTGACGCAGACACGCCCCTGACGGTGGCGGCGCGCGGTCACCTGAAGGTGCGCAAAGGTTGCGCCGCCATGTTGGTGGCACTCGTCAACGGCGGCGCCCTGCTGGACTACCGCACGAGGGAGGGGCTTACGGCCATGCACCGCGCCGTGCAGGCCGACAACCTGCAGGCTGTGCGCACGCTCCTGGGTACGGTGCTTGGCTGGATGTTTACTGCGATCTGATATTTGTTTTGCATTTGCATTATTGCATTCTGATCAACGCTTCATTACATCGTACGCGGAGCAAATATCATACTAAAGTATTATAATAGTTCACAAAACCGTGCCGTGTAAGCCGAAAACCTGCAAGCCGTGCGCACGCTTCTGGGTGCGATACTTAGCTGGATGTTTACTGTGATATAAGTACTTATTATATCATTATTATCAGTCTGCTATTATTATATTATTATTATATTATCAGTCTGCTTATATCGCAAGTTCACAAGGAATTTTAAAGCAAAGAAAACGCCAAGAAAATTCACCATATCGATGTTGACATATTCAATATCGATATGGTGAATTTTCTTAGCGTTTTCTTTGATTTTGAATTCCTTGTTTACTGCGATGTTTGTTTGTTTCTTATTGCATTTTGATCAACGCTTCATCACATCGTACGTGGAGCAAATGTCAAACTAAGATATTATGATAGTGCCCAGGTTGAATCATGCCACGCCACTGATACTTCACTCGATGCCTTAATGCATAATAATTAATTCCATCATTATCTATAATAAGAAACTGGTAAGGTCCCGAAGGTAGAAAGTCGGAACTTCTAAGATAATTAAGTACACTAAGGTTAGGGAGTGGCTAAGATACGACTGAAGGTGTGAGGCAAGTTTATTGGCCTAGTGCTGGAGATGAACTGACAAAGAGCAAAAAGGCTGTAAAAAGTTTGACACACGAATGAACTGTTTCTTAGGTGGTTTAATTCAAGAAGTCAGGCGGGACGTTGCTACAAAACGCTACTTACAATGCAATGCAATAGTTCTAAGCCTCTTACATCGCACGTGTAGCAAATAAGCCAAACATCAAACTAAGGTATTATGATAGTTCCCAGGTTGAATCTTGCCAAACCACTGATTCTTCACTTGATGCCTAATTGCATAATATTTTATTCCATCATTCTCCATAAGAAAAAACGCTACTTACAATGAAATGCAATAATTCTAAGCCTGATGTTGCCCTCGCAGACCTGGGTGCCTCTCCGAACTACAGAGACCATCGTGGCCTCACGCCGCTGTACTACTGCGTCACCTACGCCAAGGACCCGCTGGTGTGTGAGGCTCTACTGCACGACTACGCAGTTATTGGCGTAGCAGACCACCAGGGCTGGCAAGAGACGCATCAGGTGAGAAATGGCGTAACTATACGCACCAGGGCCTATACTTTCAAAAAAAGTTGAGAGATCATAAGTTCATCAGCCTATAATTGACGGCCCTTCAAGAAAAATCCACCAATCATAGACAAGAAAATAGAGCGTTAGTACTTACGTTCACTTAGCGAGTTTTGAATGTATGGCCCCAGGTGAGATATAGCGTAACAGTGTATAGCTTAAGTGTAAGAGGAGTGTTATGTTATATAGTGTAACAGGCATGTCGCTACAGTCCTGTTGGCTGTGGCAGGGGTGCAGTAACAGTAACTGCAACACTGTCAACTGTAACAGTAACTGCAACACTGTTAACTGTTACAGTAACTGCAACACTGTTCACTGTAACAGCAACTGCAACACTGTCAACTGTAACAGTAACTGCAACACTGTGTAACAGTAACTGCAACACTGTCAACTGTAACAGTAACTGCAACACTGTCAACTGTAACAGTAACTGCAACACTGTTCACTGTAACAGTAACTGCAAGACTGTTAACTGTAACAGTAACTGCAACACTGTTCACTGTAACAGTAACTGCAAGACTGTTAACTGTAACAGTAACTGCAACACTGTTAACAGTAACTGCAACACTGTCAACTGCAACACTGTTAACAGTAACTGCAACACTGTTAACAGTAACTGCAACACTGTTAACTGTAAAAGTAACTGCAATGCTGTTAATTATAACAGTAACTTCAACACTGTTAACAGCAACAGTGTTAACTGTAACACTAACTGCAACACTGTTAACTGTAACAGGCATGTCGCAACAAGCTGGTGCAACACCTGGAACACCTTCTGTTCTACGGTGCAGACCTAAACAGCCGCAACGCGTCAGGCAACACGCCCCTGCACGTCTGTGCTGTCAACAACCTCGAGGACTGCGCCCGAGTCCTGCTCTTCAGAGGCTGCGATAAGAACGCGCTTAACTTCGCTAATCAGAACCCATACCAAGTGGCAGTCATATCTGGCAACCTAGAACTTGCTGACATCATAAACAAACATCAGCCGGAGGATGTAGGTGAGTATGGTGCCTAGATGCTCTTTGTTGTAGGTAGGATGTAGGTGAGTGTGGTGCCTACATACTCTTTGTTGTCAGTAGGATGTAGGTGAGTATGGTGCCTACATACTCTTTGTTGTAGGTAGGATGTAGGGCAGTACGGTGCCTACATACTCTTTGTTGTAGGTAGGATGTAGTGGAGTGTGGTGCCTACTTACTCTTTGCTGTAGGTAGGATGTAGGGGAGTGTGGTGCTGCCTACACACTCTTTATTGTAGGTAGGATGTAGAGGAGTATGGTACTGCCTTTATACTCTTTATGATAATCTATGACCGTGAAGAGTGTTCACAAGTTGTATTACCCCACTCTTTATTAGAACATAAATACGAAAATATGATCGCTATTGCGACCGCATTATGTGATCGAATTTGAAAGTTCCAGCAATCCAGCATGCCAATAATAATGTCCACCTAATCAATGAAATAATATATGAAAACGACCAAGTGATCACCGGCCTTAGACTACAGTTATTTTATATAATGTCGCGAAGTTATATCATAGGGTGAAGAAATAACTTTGTAACAAACATTAATATATTAAACATTGCCCCTGTAAGTGCCCTTCAAGAGTCCCCCTCGCTACAACCCCCGGCGGCGGGTGTCGGGGGCGCCGCTCCTCAGGGCCACCAGCGACCCCAGACTTGAGAACCCCGGGGTCCTGAAGCCCCCCAGCCCCGCACCCTCGTCCAGGTAGGCACGGTTCATTTTACGATAACATAGCACAACACAACATAACATAACATAGTGATGACGGCGCTGAAGTGTAGGCCTGATCTTCCTACAGGAATATGTAGGAAGACAATATTCCTCTCATCAAATCCTGCTCGCCGCTCTTGATCAACAAGAGAAGTTTCCGGGACCCAATTTCCTCCTTCCCAGCTACTCACACCGCGCAGGAAATTAAACGGCAATTACATTACAACGGCATGGCTGTTATTCTAGTTGCTATGAACTCGAAAGAGAATTATTCATAATCTTCTCCTGAATTATAAGAAGTTATTCTTGTTGATTTGTGAAGGGTTTCTTTGTTCAGGTCGATACCGCCATTCAGTTCAGCGTCGTCGCTGAGCGAGGCGAGCACCGGCAGCGGCTCAACGTCTGCCAGCAACAACAGCAGCAACCCCGACCCCGACCCTCACCGTACGTCTGCTGACCCTGACCCTCACCGTACATCTGCAGACCCCGACCCTCACCGTACGTCTGCAGACCCCGACCCTCACCATACATCTGCTAGCAGCAATGCAGACCCCGACCCTCACCGTAAGTCCCCCAACAAAAACTTGCTCTCATTTAATGTATGACTGATGCGCATTGACATTAACTCTGTTTTCCGTGACCAGCGCTGCTATATTTCACCAATTTTTATTCCTCGTTACACGAATGCTATTTCTCCATTTACGGATGATACGTCATTAATTTTTCATCAACACTTCCTTATTGCACGACTGATACTTCCTTATCACTTCCGACTGATACTACCTTATCACTTCCGACTGATACTTACTTATCACTTCCGACTGATACTTCCTTATTACTTCAAACTGACACTTCTATATCACTTCCGACAGATACTTGCTTATCACTTCCGACGAATACTTTTCAGAATTCATTTAGTCCAGCGTTTGTAATGTTTCCTCTTCCAGTTAATCTAATCTAGGAAATTGTATCCAGCACTAGTCCAGCACTGGTAATGCCGTTCTTCAATCAGTCACTAGTTACTGTCCAGAGGCCATACTTTCAAAACTCGCTAAGTGAACGTAAGTATTTACGCTCTATTTTCTTGTCTATGATTGGTGGATTTTGCTTGAAAGGCCGTCAATGATTGGCCGATGAACTTACGATCTCTTAACATTTTTGAAAGTATAGGCCCGGTTTCATTTAGTTTTCTAATTTAAATTATTTATTGTAAGTGACGAGAGATGGCGGCCAGTCTGGAGGCGGTGTGACGGTAGAGGCGCTGAGCGACACAAGTAGCGGCGTCTGCTGCAGCTACCAGAGCAGTGCTGGTGACCAACCAGCCGTCAGACAGCAGCCTTCACACTACCAGGCATCCCACTACCAGACCTCACACTACCAGGCCTCGCACTACCAGGCCTCACACTACCAGGCCTCGCACTACCAGCCCTCGCACTACCAGCCCTCGGTAACAGCAGCGCATGTTTTCTATTCATTTTAAACAACAAATAGGAATCGGTGCGCTGTTAGAAAAAACGGTGCCACTGGCGTTCTAGTGGCCGGTCGCCCCGTGAAAATAAACTGTTTCGCCGTTTTTATCAGATGTTTTACGGATTTCTACTGTTAAGTTAGAATGAAAACGGCGACACAGTGTTTCTTTTCACTTGCCGACCGGCCACTGAAACGCCGGTAATAGCGTTAACGGTAATTTTTCTAACAGTGTGTGATGTAAAGATTTGTCAGCTCGAGGCAAATGAAAAGTGGTTATAACGCTACCATCATTCCTAAAAGAATGTTAGTTATCAGTACTTTTCACTTCCATATTAGATCAAACAGACATGCACTTATTGTTTCAGGTGATATTTAACTCTAATTGTGATAGAAGTGCAGCCGAATGTCCAGATGTTGTGAATTTTTAGTGCGACACTTGTTTTGTTGCAGCGCTAATACAATAGAATAGAAGTGTCAGCACTGAAGAAATTAGCCCATGGCCTGTTACCGATTCTTGAATTTTTCGTGACTTGATTCACAAGGGATCCGGCCTTTGGAACCTGATCTTTCCATAGCTGACGATTGATTGAGATAGCTGCTGGACTTATTGCCTGGTTCGTAATTTGCTAGGCATTTTAAGACTGAACATATGCTCCTGCGTAGCTTCGTCTAGTTTGTTCAAAAGTATAAGAGTATACCCAATAGAGGATCATATGATACGCTATTGGGTATACTTCTCTTACTGAGTCAGTGAACTAGGTGAGCTAATATTGACCATTGTTTGTTGGCACTCAATAAAACTTATAACTCACTAGTTATGTAACTAACATCTAATGTCGTAGAGTGAGCACTCAATAGAAGTTATAACTCACTAGTTATGTAACTAACATCTAATGTCGTAGAGTGAGCACGTCCACGAAGAGGACGAAGAGGCCACAAGTGAGGGTAGCGGCAGTGAGGGTAGCGGCAGCAGTGAAGGTAGCGCCATGACGTACGATGTGGGCGCCCTCGTGGTGTGTGTACGACAACACGCCGAGCCCAACCAGCTTGTGCTCAACCTCGGCGACATAGTGCAAGGTTAGTGCAATATTGTTATCTGGAAAAGAATATTGTTATCTGGAAAACAATATTGTTAGCAGAAAAACAACTTTCCCAGATGTTATTTGAGTATTGTCTAACTTTGCTCCGTTTGCTTCTATATATATATTTTTTCTTTTATTTGAGTAGATTAAAGGCGATGTACAATTTAGTGATTTTTACAATGTTTTGCGGGCGCTGGTAAGCGAGAATGACGCTTTTAAGTGAAAATGTATTGGGCATCTACAACTGTTGGAGGCAAACAGGATTCGCCTTGGAAATTTGTGGTGTAAACTTGTGATATTCTATTGGGTATAAATTTTTATTCCACTGATTTTATTAAGCAAATTTTAATAACAATACCGATAACGCAATAACGCAACAGCTACAGATAACGCAATAACGAACGCAGATATTCTCAATGATATTCTCGTGATATTCGCTCGTTTATTCTCTCTGGTGACGGTCTGAGCCGAGTATTTCTCTGTATTATAAGTATTGAGTATATCATATGTGTATAAGAGTATCCTCTACAGTGTCGGTCTGAGCCGAGTATTTCTCTGAGTGCAGTGACGGGCAGCACAGACGAGGGTCTGCTGGAGGGCACGACGCGAGGGCAGACCGGCACCTTCCCGCCGGCCTGCGTACAGCCCGCGCGGACCCGCGGCCTGGCCCCCCGCACACAGGGCCATGGCCGCCACGGTCCAGAGATGGGGCCCACACCAGCCAGGGGCCCGCAACCCGTGGGGCCCGCACCATCTAGTGCCCTGCAACCCGTGGGGCCTGCCCCTTCCAGTGCCCCGCAACCCGTGGGGCCAACTTCTTCCAGTGGCATGCACTACGGCACGACACCGCGCACGAAAAAACCTCAGTGAGTTCACTTAGTCTGCTGACACCTAGACGGTGCTAGTGTAGTGCTAGTGTAGACGTTGCTAGTGTAGACGGTGCTAGTGTAGACGGTGCTAGTGTAGTGCTAGTGTAGACGGTGCTAGTGTAGTGCTAGTGTAGACGTTGCTAGTGTAGACGGTGCTAGTGTAGACGGTGCTAGTGTAGTGCTAGCGTAGACGGTGCTAGTGTAGTCNNNTAGACGGTGCTAGTGTAGACGGTGCTAGTGTAGACGGTGCTTGTGTAGACGGTGCTAGTGTAGACGGTGCTAGTGTAGACGGTGCTAGTGTAGACGGTGCTAGTGTAGACGGTGCTAGTGCGTCTAGACTTTGCGTTACAAACGTGCCCTCATTTGGTACACCAATCAGTTACTACTTAACCTTCGTTTGTGTTTGAAAGATTTATTGTGCGCGATAAACTTGATGTAATATTTCCAGACTGTTTGTATGAGGCAGGTCTCTTTCATCTTGAAGGATGCTTTGTTTCACAGTTTTACGTAAGCCAGTTTCCGTTACTGCTCATGTTGCTCTGTGTTGGCAGGATGCCCCTGGGTCGCACGGTTGTCCTGCACCAGACACTAAACATGCTCTGTGTTGGCAGGATGCCCCTGGGGCGCACGGTTGTCCTGCACCAGACACTAAACATGCTCTGTGTTTGCAGGATGCCCCTGGGGCGCACGGTTGTCCTGCACCGCGGTAAGAAAGGCTTTGGTTTTGTTCTGCGCGGGGCGAAGGCGACGTCTCCCCTCATGGACCGCCTGGCAGACAAGGGGGCGGTCGCCCTGCAGTACCTCGATGACGTCGACCCCGGCGGCGTTGCAGATCTTGCCGGCTTGCGACGCGGGGATTACTTGCTCAAGGTGACGCAGTAGTGAACGAATATCCTGATCTATTAAAGCTAAGATAAGTTGTATTCTGGAAAATCTATTCTTCACAATGTGACTTTAATCGTCGGCTTACAACTACGATTTACCTGCGCCTCTTTTCATGCACTGCAACCCGTTATCCTGATAAAGGGAACGGTTGTGGATGAAGTGAGCAGAGTAAGTGCAGAGCGCCGTATTCATAAGTAAGTGCAGAGCGCCGTATTCATAAGTAAGTGCAGAGCGCCGTATTCATAAGTAAGTGCAGAGCGCCGTATTCATAAGTAAGTGCAGAGCGCCGTATTATTACAGAGTTGTTATCAATTATCCACGCTGTTTTTCAGTACTGATAACCTAATGACATCACATCGAGCAGTTCGAACTGAACCGAAAAATTAATTACTTTTGGAGTTACATTTGCAATTCACATCTGCTTTCTTATTTTTGTATAATAATGGTTTCTATAATAATTATGATCTCAATCTGTTCCGATGTAAGACTACTGCTAACATTTAATATGCGGATAAAACATATATACATAGAACATATGTATTTACAACATACAACATATGCATATATAACATATGTACATACATGATGAATGGTGCGTTCTTGCGACGTGCACAAGGAAGTCTGAACTCATTTCATTGCTGCCATAATTATTTTTAATGAAGTCAAAAAGTGAAGTCATTGAGAAGTAATTTTATTAATATTTAGCAATGAATTAGCATCACAACAGCTGCCATGAATATACCTGCCCCACATGGATGCATCAAGACTATATAGGCTGTGCAAAACTTCTGCCATCAATGGTAATTAAATGGTACATTCATGGTAATTAAATGGTACAATGGTAACCATAGGTTAAAATGGTAACTATAAGTTACAATGGTAACCAAATACTACATGGTCCCACAGATCAACGGAGAGGACGTGTCTGGGGCGTCCCACGAGCACGTCGTGTCCCTCATCCGCCGCAGCGCAGACCTCGTCGAGATGACGGTGGTGACGCCGGGGCTGCAGACCCTCGTGCAGCCTACATCCTTCAGCCCTCAGACCCCTTATCTGAGTGCTGCAGCTCGAGGGTCCCAGACCCTGCCACGCAAACTTAACTTTTGTGAGTGTCTTGGTCTGGAACTTAGGGTTGTGTTAGGGGCTAGGGTCATGTTAGGGGCTAGGGTTATGTTAGGGGCTAGGGTCATGTTAGGGGCTAGGGTCATGTTAGGGGCTAGGGTCGTTAGGGGTTCGTGTATGATTAGCTATTATGATTTATTTTTCACATGCCATCTCACTGGTTTACTAATTACGAATCTTTAAAAATTTGTTTATTGGCATCATTTATTGCAAAGATAAATTTTATTTATTGGTAACTGGAAGAAAAGTGCTGATGGTGAAACAGTAAACAGCCAAATATATCATGAACAATTCTACCGAAGCAGACATTAGCTTTTTCGAAATTACTAGAGCTGGAAATAAAACAGTTAATTTTTCATCTGAAAAATATTTTAGTTTATTGTAAGAGTCCTTCGATACCTTGAGGAAGGGCGACCACTGGCCAAAAATTGCTGTGCCGTGAAGCGTCAACATGAATTTGAATAAAAATTGTCTACATTTTGTCGAATTACTTAGTAACATATTTATTTTTTCATATTTCCATATTTGTATTTATTGTCTATCAATCATAGGAATGGTAAAAGAAAATGCTTATATCTTTATTAAATAAAGTTTTAACATAATGCCTCAGCTCGGTCGCTGTCGCACAGCAACGCTCCCCCAGCGCCCCCGCCCCGGGACCCGAGCACAAGTCTGAGCGTGGGACGCGCGCGGGCCCGCAGTGTTGTGGGCAGCCTGCAGCAGCACAGTGCTGGTAACTTGTCATAAATGTTACGATATTATGAGTTATTTAGCTCCCTAGGCTCCTTTATAATAAGCATCCCTCAGCAAGACAGACATTTTTTTATTTGCCTCTCCATTGCCTAACTTCTCACAAATGTTACGATATTATGAGTTATTTAGCTCCCTAGGCTCCTTTATAATAAGCATCCCTCAGCAAGACAGGCATATTTTTTATTGCCTCTCCCTTATTTTCAAGAGGCTCGTATCTCAGTTTAATTTTTCTAACGTTCACTAAAAAGTGTTGAGGTCCATGTTCACTAACGTTGATATCATTGCTTACAATGATCGTCTCTTGGATTAGCATGCAACATGTTATCGTCATGTCACGATCACATGAACTGGGTAATATGAGCGAAATAGTGAAGGAAAGAGGTCATTATAAGGGCGGCACTGCAAGTTGTTCGAGAATGTGACATGATTATGCCTTGCAATGACTGAAATATCTTACTTCTGTTTGATAATGTGACATGATTATGCCCTGCAATGACTGAAATATCTTACTTCTGTTTGAGAATGTGAATGTGTGTAAGGATCTTACTCCACTCCTAAGTGAAGTTGTTCAGGAGGTCCTTACAGTTAAGGCTCGAGGGCACGCAGCACTAACTAAAGAGAACGCTCCTCGTTCTGTATGAACAATTCAATTAACTTTTTTAGATTCGTTTGCATTCAGCGATCAAGGTTCATCAATCACACACAACAACAAATTTTTCCTTCGATTTATCACTATCATCTGTTATCAGTCTAACCTCTTAACAATGTAAGTTTATTGAACTTCATTTTTACTCTTCATTGTGAACATGAATGCAATATCAGTCTTACCTCTTAAAAATATAGGTTTATTCACTATGAACTTCATTGCTACTCTTCGTTGTGAACATGAATGCAATATCAGTCTAACCTCTTAAAAATAAGGTTTATTTACTATGAACATCATTGCTACCCATCATTATGAACATGAATGCAATTCGTGGGCCCACGTTAAGCCCTGAACCGCCTTCAGATGGCTCGGAGAACCTCTCCTCTTGCTCGCCCTCATACGCGCCCAAGCTTGCCTCCATCAAAGCTCGTCCTTCCTCTGCACTTCGCATGACCGCCTCGCAAGTCGAGGAGTTCATTTCTGCTCAGAAATTCGTTGGTTCGCTTCCCCCGTCCCCTAGCAACTCCGCATCCGATACGCGGTCTCCTCGGGTCTATGCCAGCGTCGCTGAAATGAAGAAAGCTAAGGTCCGGAGGATACCGTAATTTTTGACTATTCGTGAAAAAGTTATTAAATATCCGACAAATATTCTATGTGTATAAGAAGGTGCCGTAATTTAATTAGATTTGTTCGAATTTGGTGCATTGTTTATCATTTCACCGGTATCTGTAGCGTATCAGTTCGTGTGGAATTAACTGAACTTGTGGCTTTAACATATTACTAAATGAGCAACATTTATATCAAATTTAAAACAAATGCTAAGGTTGATTTCAAGTTGACCTCATTCTATTTATGAGAGATTTTAATGAAAGATGAAAGATTACTTAAAGTTTTCTACCTTCAGGCACTTCGTTCTCGACCACCCGCCGACTCGCGGCTCCACAAGGCGTTTCACTCGACGCCAGACCTCACACCAGAGACCAACCGTTCCTCCACAGCCTCAGACGACCCGTCCACAGACCTCAGCCTCCAGTCTCTCCCTGGACACAACTTGACTCTCCTACATTCACGTCGTTCTATGGTAGAACCTCAGGCGGCGGTATATTCCGCCTCTAGTCAGGCATCTTATTTGAGACACACACCTCTATACGATGGCGCAATGCATGGCAGTTTAGATCACAGGCGACTCAAGAGATCGCAGTCTGCTATTAATCCTTGTCAACTTCTGCGAGATGACGGAACAATTTCCCCCGTTTCCGGGGCTGGACAAGTTGTAAAGGTAGACATAAGCCGTTCAAGCAGCGAATATGCAAGCGTAGCTCAAAGTGTAAACAAGCCTGCAGATTTAGAATCGTGTCCCACTTCTCCGGGAATCATGTCTAGCTTTAGACCCTCAGATTCAGCCAAACTCTATGCATCTCCTGAAGAAATTAAAAGCGTAGGATATCGTAACCCACAAATGCTTGCTCAACTCAACCGGGTAAAGAACAATAACTACGCTACGTCCGCCAGATCTCAGAGTCTACCTCCCACTACCAGCAGACCGCCCTTGTCGCGGGTACCGTCTCATCCTTACGCTGATCCCATTGATACCAATTCATCGTTGCCCAGCAGTAGCAGCCCAATTGATGGCGACGACTTGCCACTTCCACCGCCGCCGCCGGAGGAAGAGCTCATTACTTACGCTCTGCCACTGAGTAACCGAGCTGTAAATGTGTCAAAAGTTATGACCACTTCGTGTATAGTCGATAAATCTGATCATTTAGACAATATTAACAAGCAGATGAGCGCTTCCTTCTCTGGAACTAGTTCATACGAACATTTTACGAGCAATGATGTGGAAAGCTCTGAAGAAGAAAGTACTCATAACTCTCAATGTGACGATGAGCAGAATCCACGAACATTGAAGCGCAAGAAACACTCGGTAGCGTTTGCTCCGAGTTCCGTCAAGTCAACGGACAATAACCAACCTAAAGAATCCTCTCACTATGCTGCCCCCGTACATGCCAGCCCAAACTCTAAAGCAGTTGTACTTCCGTCAAAAACAATTCCAGTGTCGCAGGCTGAAAATTTCAGCGATCTAATTGCCAAGAAAGCCGAAGAAAGAAGGGCGAGGCTAGAAAACAGCGGAAATTCGACTCCCTGTTCCACAAACTCCAGCCCCAAGAGAAATAGTTCTCAAGTCAAAGCAAATTTGGGACTTTCAGACGCTATTTTAGAATCTGCTCTTTTCAACAAACAGAAAGTTTCGAATGGCGGTAACACAGGCGATGCGCTTGACAACGCAGGTTCCATCACTAATATTCTTCAAAAAATGAGAAATTCCATGTCTTGCCCCAGCGAATTCCCATTGCAAAAAGAAGACAATTCCTCCAGTGATCTCAGTTCAGACCAAGAAATTCAACCAGGTGAATCATTTGTAACTGTTATAAATACGGAATCGAGTGCAATCTCTGAAGCAAAGCAAAATGTGGCCGTGTTCAAGACTAACTCGATTGAAGATTATTCCGTGTCATCTGAAAGCTCTGAAGACGCCAGTGACAGAACATGTATTTTGACGAACGATAGAACTGAAGCAGGGCAGGTGACAGAGAGTGCACTTATTCCGCCAAATAAAAAACTAGGCACACGATCTAAAAATATCACACCAGTTTCAAAACTTCCTGTTCCTCTTGCAACCCAATCGCCTCCAGTGACAGCTCAAAAGAACTGCACACCTATGGCGATCACTAGCGACCTTCTCAGTTCAAATTACCGTTCGTCTAATCAACTTCCTGCTTCTCATCCTCTATCAACGTCCCAGCCGCTCCCCGGACATCTTCAGGGAGCTGTTCATCCTTCCAACACACACGTTGGACAAGCTAAGTTTTCCACTCTACAGCGACCTCAATCAAATTCAAAGAGGTTCACTAAAGCCAACAGTGATCAACCATCTAGTCAACATTCTTCAGGTGATGGTATTTTAATTCGCACTCGATCGATTAATAGAGATGACCTGAATCTCAATTCAGGAACGGTAACTCTAGATCGGCATTCGTATCAAGGCAGTCGAGGTAACAACACTTCCGGCAAAACTGAATACGAACGAAGCATTGATGAGAGTCTGCAGCTCATTAGGATGCATATGAATTCACTGAATGAAGTAAATTCGTTGGCAGGAATCAAAGCTTCGCATCCTTTAAATGAGAATCTGAGAGAGACCAAATCGCTCTCGCCAAACGCAAACAAAAATGGAGCAGATGCAGAGGAAGTGCTTGCGCCTCCACCTCAATTCTCGGACACTTCAGGATTTCGTAGCAACGAGGCTACCGCTAGCAAAAGCAAAGCATCAATGTTCAAAGAAGCTGAGGAAGGCAGCGAGATGCCAATACATGTGTATAAGCGAAGCAATAGAAGAGTAGAAGAAGAATTTGCGGCGAGATCCGATGACGACCGCACTTTTAGGTATAAGACTCTCGATGAGTGGAACACAAAAGACACCACTGATTGGCTCGAGTCTTTATTCATGCCAGAATATAAGGACTCGTTCGAAACCAAGCAGATAGATGGTACAAAACTGTTGAAAATAAACAATGAATCTCTTATCAACCTTGGAGTGCGCCGCGTTGGACACCGGGTAAACATGGAGAAATCTTTGAAGCGTTATAGGCCTGTTGAAAGAATCGATCTATAATTTCCGGACTCCCAGTCGATCTACCTCAAAGAGAAAATAATAGGTAGGAACTTTGCGAAAAGGGAAATGGTGTTGAAATATAGTACGACTTTTCTCTCCATTGCTGTGTTTGCGTGGCATTCGACTGCTTATGTAGGAAGTAGTCGAATAGGCGTGAACGTCTTTGTGAGTGAAGTACTAGTGTTTGGATCCTTATTCATACATTCAGTGAAGAAAAACACTCCACGAAAGAAACTACCTTAAACTTCTCGTCCTTGTACATATACGGTAGGTGAGGCGTTGTAAAGTGCTGTATCTATACTGCTTTCTTATTAGACATTTGAGTTAAATGTGTTTATTTAAGATATTCAGTATTTGAATTTTGTGTGTTTAATAATTTTTTTTTATTTTGTGAAGTTTTTGACGAGATATGCCATTAGTTATCAAGACGCAGCTCTTGGTTTCGAGTGGAGCTTTGTTATGTCCATCTGAAGTGAAATGCCTTTTCTTCTATAATTAATCGCATTCAATGATGAATCACGAACTACAGATTGACAACTATCAGCCTACTAGTGTTTTATTTGACTATATAGGTAGGCGCTTTGAAAGTCGAGAACGAACTACTAATAATATGAGGAAAGGAAAATACTTACTTCTGCCTAGGATTATAATTTTCAGTGTTTTGGGTCTCGTTTGGCTACATATTATTAGTAGGTATTCGTGGCCGGGTTCACTTGTTGGCTTCTGTGCAATAATTGTTTGAAAATGTTATATGGTTGTCCCCACCTATTGATGTTTGTGCTCCGTCTTCTTCCATACTCTCTCACAACCGAAATTTGCTATTTAAAATTGGTTTACTTAGCTTCTGAAATCCAACAGAATTGTTTTCCTTTTGATTGCTTATAATTCATCGAAAACATTTGGCTTGGCCCGCTGTTTGTTTTGTCCCTGGCCTCACTTGCAGCGGCAATTAGTGAAGAAATAAAACATCGTATGAACGTAAATAAAACATCGTGTGAACGTTGTAACTCCCGGAAATCCCACTTCTATGTCGTCCAGCCTCATTTAATGTAGTTGTCAACCTCGGTTATTATAACACCTTAAACCCTTCTGAACTTGTGTCCTGGAATCTTTGGCTACGGCTGCTAGATCTATTATTTGTTTGTGCAGTTCATCTAGATGGTTCTTGTGGTATACATTTGCTGCTCAATTAAAGTGTAAAGTTTAGAATTGACAACGACCGAACGTCCACGCTAGTCCCATACAAATCGCGCCTGTTCCCTAAACGTCCTAAGCGATGTCGACCTATCGAGTGTCCATCATCTGCCATTAATTAAAGATTGATTTCTAATTTTTTGATTCAGTTGCATAGCCATGTTTAAGATAATAATATTGATAGACTTACTCCAAAAATCCGACCGAAAGTGCGATAAATAAATGATTCAGAGTATGCAATGTTACCAATATTCGAAGTATGATTTATTCAGATCCTATTGATTATTCTTTAGCAATAAGTGCGTTAAGAGTTCGGTTCAATCATTCCACATGTCTTAATGCTGTTATTTAACTGGTGAATTTGATAAACTTGCGAAGAGTTTCATCTTTGTCACCATTATCATAATATTGAATTTTTAGACTAATATTCAACAATTTGTTTGAATTCTGTTGAGCTTGAAGATTTCATAAGTTTTTTTGCAGGATATAAAAACTTGCCACTGCCTTGTTATGTCATAGAAGTGTTCACACATTCGTTTCTACAGCTCTAATAAGGACGGTTTTGAACTTCCTTCAGAGCTGAAGCTAGATGGCGCTGCAAAAATTACGGCATTAGAATTAAATGTATTCAGGACATTAACAGTTTCTACACATGATCAAAATCGCCAGAATCATGTCATATAGAATTAAATAATTTATCCTTTTCAGTTGCAGATAATAGTGTTCGTTTCTAAATCGGGAAGTCGTCCCCTGCAAATATCGAATCAAAAGTTTCTTTGTAAACATGGTTGTGGGTAAAGTAAACATTTGTTTTGTCGTAGTGGGGCGAAATAAATGTTGTATTTGTTGAAATTCTTTCGAGACAAAAATCGATTGGCTATTATTAAGAAAAAAATGCGGGCTCCTATGATATGAGGGTGCAGTCATAGTAAATTATTATTTAGCCTGCATCACATTAAGGAGGTTTTTCAGGATTAGCGTTGAGCTGGAATTAGAGACCAAAAGCTTCGTCTCTGGCCAGCACCTTTAAACTTTTGTACAATCTAGTCTTTCCCCTGTAAACCTACAATAATAAATGATTTCAAAATATATTCTTCTATTATTCAATAATTTCAAATAATCATTCCGACTGCAAGTGAAGAAGTTATTTTTCGTCCCTGAAGATATTGTTGGCGCTCCGAGTATGAACGCGTTCAAGAACAGACTAGACAAGGCCATACAGGAGCACATGTTTAGTCTTAAAATGCCTCGTATCCTACGGAACAACTGATATCTAGAAGCGATTTTAAACCTACAGTCCGTTGAAAAGATTTGATCAAAAGGCCAGTCTAGCCAACAAAAGTACAAGAATCGGCGACAGGCCTATTCAGGCCTATTCTTCAATGCAGACGATACTATACTACTATACTACAGGTATAGGCTAAGACGTCGACCGTTTGGTCGGAGAAGTTCTAACGCTAATAACATTGCTGCGTGAGTACTTTGTCTGGAGCGTTATTGCGAGTAGGTACTAAGGTTCCCAGCCCATTTATAGACTTCGTACTTTCGTTCACCGGGTTCTTGTCCTCTGACACATACAGTGGGGGGAAATAAATATTCGTACACTTGAAAAATCGTATTTTAATGTATGTAAGTACACAAACTTAACAGGAAAAGTGATTTAAATTATGTATAGAGACGCATAGTATTCAAAAATACTATCAAAAGAAATTAAATCTCAATGCAACAAAAAACATACTATGCGTCTCTATACATAATTTAAATCACTTTTCCTGTTAAGTTTGTGTACTTACATACATTAAAATACGATTTTTCAAGTGTACGAATATTTATTTCCCCCCACTGTATGCTGTATAAGCTGTCGACTCAGCGCTTGAGGCAAGCTCTCAGTGACACAGTGGACTCAAAGCTAACTAGGTATGGTAGGTTTTTATCCACAAACTACTTCCGGACAATTTTGTGTCAAAATAATTCGAATAATAGCAGACGACAAGAATTAGCGGCAATTTTCGAGTCCGATCGTGCCTTTCAATGTCTCCAATATAAACGTAAGCCGCGTAGAAAAAAAGTGATCGCATTAATCCAATTTGTTATTAAATTCATCAATTCAAATCAAATTTGTTATTAAATTCATCAATTCAAATCAATTAAACCAACCTAATTGGAGATGGGTGCTGAGTGTGATACGTGCTGCATCATCATAAGGACCTTCATCTGGTCCATTAAATTTGTCATGGCAATGATTTGTATCACATTATAGTATTATCATGTACCATACCCTAGATGCAGAAGCGATGAAGCAGTTGTTCGTTGCTGTCATTCACCCGAACCTAGAGTTTGGAAACGTTGTGTGGTCACCGAAATCTGAAAAGGAAAAAAATTTAATAGTGAGTGTTCAAAGATGTGCAACAAGAATAGTTCCGGGCTTGAAAGGCAAGTCCTATGATGAAAGATTAAAGATTATGAAGCTTCCAAGCCTCAGTTATCGACGTCTGCGTGGGGAACTCATTGAAGCATACAAGTATACTCATGGCTTATATATACAAGGTCCCAGAAGGATTACTAGAATTTGAAACAAGAACCAGCACCAGGGGCCACGGCTATAAACTAAAATAACTGCGTTGTAACACATCCACGCGACAACATTTCTTCTCGCTTCGAGTCACCGGCATGTGGAACAGCCTCCCTGATAGCATCGTTGACGCTCCGAGTAAAATGCCTTCAAGAACAGACTAGACGAAGCTATGCAGGAGCATATGTTCAGTCTTAAAATGCCTAGCAGATTACGGAGCAGGCAATAAGTCCAGCAGCTATCTCAATCAATCGTCAGCTATGGAAAGATCGGGTTCCAAAGGCCGGATCCCTTGTGAATCAAGTCACGAAAA